TCCTTAATGATCACAGACTTCTTCCTTCACAAACTGGCACCTACTTTCTCAGAGGAAACTGGATTGACACACAATCCTAAGACTGTGGTATGCAAGTTTATTGGGGAACAGGTTTAAAAAAACCTGCTTCAGAGTCCTGCATATGAAAAGTCCAGAGAACAGCTTGAAACTGAAGCATTCTCCGTGAAACCTCTGCTTACAGGTTTTGCAGCACTAATCAGAAAATCTAGCTGAGCTAATGTACGTTCTGCTAAAGAGTTCAAATACTATGATGCTGAGTAAATACATAGGCTAGATAGTCCATCAGTGACAGTCTCTAAAATATTTGTTCCTCCTGATTAATGACTCTCTAACACCACCTCTGTTTCACAAGTGGGAATTGACAGGATAGAAGTATTCGACTTCCATCCTCTATGCAAAAGCTCTGTTTTCTTTGTAGCACTTATGAGAAAATGGAATAAGTTTTGTGACCATCATTTATTATATCCATGAGGCCACCTAGGCAGTCCTGTGTTTCTCTTTCATGCTTTGCTTTACTCTTCAGGGGAAGTAATCAACGCTTCATTACCAGCTACGATAATAAGGCGGGGCTGAGGCTTCCAATGCTGTAATTAGAAACTGTTGGCATCAGCAGTATAAATTCACTTTTTGAGGGATTTGTAGAGTCTCCTTCCTTGGAGATATTCAAAAGCTGCCTGGACACAATCCCGCACAATGTGCTCTAGATGACCCTGCTTGAGCAGAGGGGTTGGACTAGGTAATCACCAGAGGTCCCTTCCAGCCTTGGCCATTCTGAGATTGTGTGATTGATGACTGAAATGTAAAACTTTACTTCCAGCTGAAAACTGCCTTTTCAGATCTTGGAGTGTGAACTATGATTATTTTTAAATAATTCAAAGAGGCTTTTAAGCTACAAGAAGAAAGTTAAACTGAAAAAAAAAAAAGGAAGGCACATTTTATTCCAGTGGGTAACTTTATTTTCCTCTTTCAAACACAAATTTTGATGAAGCCAGATTCTTTAACTCAGAAAACTAATTTTGCCACAGCTGTCCCCTGCACACAAATATATACATATTTTCTGTTACAAAAAAGAAATATTGGACATTTAATCTGATAATTATCTCTGTCTGTGAGGTCCATACTCTGTATAGAAAATTCTGTGTCTGCCTGGAAGGTACCGCTTTTGAAATTTAGATACCAGGAGCTGCTGATTCTGACAGTAACTTTGACCCTTCTGTTGTGATTGCCAGGGAATCTGAGTCCTCTTCCTGAGGACTGAGTAATAACTAGTAGGTGTTTACAAGGTTACTGTTTTACCGATTGTAGTTAAAGATTGCTTACGCCTACAGCAATGGAAAAGTGACTCTTTTTAAATGGATGAGGGTATACATCCAAATAACAATCTCATATGAGCAGAAACATATTAACCTCTTATCCCTCTTTTTGCCCCTTCACCCCAGAAGCTCCCTCAGTAGCTGGGAGCTTACTCACTTGCCCTGTGGTGGCTGGGCAGTTTGACATTTGAAAGGCATTTGTTCAAAAAGTGCTTGATCTCTTGAGAATCAGTATTGTGAAATCCCATCTCAACTTCTGATCTATGTGGCTAAGATTTGTTTACATTCAGCGATTTGTAGAATTCAATGTTACGATTTCTACTGCAAAATTCTGGATTTTCTTCCACATATGCATTTTCTTTGACCATGCAAGAACTCTTCAGCTTTAAGAGAGACAGTTTTATCAGAACACAAAGAGACAGTTAAACCTAAAGCTGTGCAAGAAACATTGATATTAGGTAGGTGTTAGTCTTCCTTCCAGGACAGCATTTAGGCACTACTATACTGTAGTATGTGCTTAGACCAAAGTTTGGTAAGCTTTGCAGTAGTTACTAGATTCTGCAGTAAAGTCTCTGGATATCATAGATGATCAGCTCTGTGCCTGTGTGGCTTGTGGGTTGTTCAAGAGTGGTTCCTGTGCTGCAGCTATGCCGTATGACTGATGAGGAGACTGTGTAGGTACTGGGCTGGTGAAAGAGAATGAGGAGGAACTGCTGAAGTTAACAGTTTGGAGCTGTGCTGGGACTTAGATTCCCTATCAATTTATCCAGATTTAATCCTGGAATTGACCAAAGGTATTCCTAGTGTACTGTTATCTCCTGTTTGTAAAAAAAAAAACTCCAGGATTACCTGCTCCCCTTAGTTCTCTATGGTATGTAGCACGTGTCTTGTGGCTTTGACCCTACAAATGTTTTGGTATTCAGCTTCTGCAGCTGGGAAAGTTAGCCACTTCATGCTAGTGTTCTATCATCGTTCATGTAATTTCAAAGGCAACTTCAACATGAAACAATGAAGGTTTTAATGATTAGGAATAAAAAATAAACTATGGGAGAGACAGGGTCACACTGGTGTGACCGATTCTAAATTAAATTTATATTCTGCTACTGTTATCCTTTCAGTCTTCTGTCTCTAGTAAAATGTTGTTCTGATAATTTGTAACTGTATCACAAATGTTATAAAGAGGAAAACTTTCTCCTGGTTTGACATCTGGAAAACCGTAAAGGGCTGTTAGCAAGATGGTTCATGAAATAGTAAACAATGATGAAATTGTAATTGTAATTGTTTGACTTTGCATTTAAAATAATCCATACCCTTCCCAGGCATTGGGTTTTAGTCTTTTTCCATTTGTGGTGTCATAATTTGAATGCACTCTTTGGTTCCAGTCCTGACAGCCGTGCTCATTTGAAATCCTTGGATGCCTTTTACTGGCATAAGGGTTTGTCAGCTTGGCTTTGGAAAGCGTTTCCCAAGTTGCTCCTACAGCTTTCGCTGTATACAATGGACGCGTTCTTCTCTTTCTGAACAGAACACCTAGGTAATATTGCTGGGCCTGTTTGTTGCAGAACTTGTTGTTGTTACCCTGTTTCAGCTATTATTCTGTTTCAGTAGTTTCTGCATTCCTAGGGTGAAACTATTAATCAAAAATAATGTTTGATTACTGTTTAACCATTTATTGGCTTAGCCATTCCTGTGTACGCTTTGTTTTGCAAAGGCTGTACCATCTCTAGCTTTGGTTTCTAGGCGTTCGTCTTTCAGACTTCTGAATTGCCGTGACTAGTTCTCTGTAATGATTTTGACATTCGGTTCATGGATTTAGGAATTCTAGCCAAAGAGTTGTTGCCAAAAATTTTTGCGAGGTGGACTGTCCTCTACAGGTGTTGCCTCTACTGCTGTTAAAAGATTGTGTGACAACCCTCTGCGACTACAAACGGAAGTCCGTTGACTTGTTAGAACAGAGTGGTTGTCTGTTCCATCGGGAGCAGCTCAGGATTTACACAATTCTGTGGGAGTTAATTTACTGCGAGCATCTCAATGTGCTACTGTATTTCCACTAAATAGTTTCAATTCAAGACAAAACAACAAAACTGCTCCTATTAATCATTTTCCCAGTTATATCACATAGATCTGACATGACCGATATACCTCAAATTTCACGACAGTATGTAGGCTCGGCCAGAATTCAGAACATCATGATCTACTAGTACTCTTCTGAATCCCAAACTGGGAATTATTTTTAGCGTTTCACACGTGAGCTGAGGGTGTCACGCTTTCTTATTCCAGCTGAGGGTGTTGTGATACCACGGGCTTTGTAGCAGATCTCACGAAGCGAATCAAGTGTAACTGGGAAATATAATTCCCGTCACGGTAAGATTTTCCGCCTTTCCCACTCGCCTTTCGCCTGAACTTTAACTAAATTCACTTTTCTACTGTATACCCGCACCGC